ATTAATTAATTTTTTTACATTTTTCGGGAAAAAATAAATGCATGTGGTACAAAAATACCAATTGCATTCATTGAACATACATATGTTAAATGCTGACCTCATTCCGCACTGCTCAGTGCTCCATGCAAAACCTGTTTATTTTACTAGTATTTTTGTTGAAAGTAAACTAGCTAATTATTCAGAACTTCGTTTGCAGGTGGATTTTTTCGCTAGCTCCTGTAGAAATATTTTTGCTTCTGCTTTAGCACTTTCTCCTGTAATATTGATATTATGAAATGAATTTTTCTTTGCTAACTGAAAATTTTTTACCAGCTTGGGAAGTGGAAGTTGGTGGTGACTGTTTCATTAACTCATAAAACTGAAGAGCTTTTTCCTGCATTAAATAACCACTTACAGTTTTACTTTTTTTCTTTACTTTACTTCCCATCACTAGTTTACTATAATAGAACTAGAAATAAAACTATTTCCTTGTACTATCTTACAAGTTCTCTCTGTGTGTCTCTCTGTCTCTTTCCCTGCCTCTCTCTCTCTCTTTCTTTCTTTCTCTATTTCTCTCTCTCTAGGTTTTTGACTTAAGGTCTTGGTTTGATCTTGATTTCTATAGCGTAAATTAAAGTCACTGTTAATAGAATTAATTTTTTATGCTGTTCTTAAATCTAGATATGCTTTATTTAAAACTAATTTTTCTTTTATTAATGTCCTTATAAAGTTCAAATTATAAAAAACATTCTTTTGTTTTAGCCATGAACAAATCGACGTTTCATTTTTCGATCCAGCCCACAACGGCTCCATCATAGACCTATCCCAAATCCCAATACCGATTCAAACCAACGTCAGCGGAGTCTCTATCACTGGATTACTACCAGCCAACTTCGGCGACCTGAATTTACTTAAAAATGGCACTCCTACCGTACAAGGATCACACTTTCCTTTGTTCCCGAACAAACAAGTGAGAGTAATCCATAACGTGAGTACAACTGACAGAGATAGAACCAACGACGTCTTGTCTAGTTTGCCGGAATTGTTGGGCTTGGGAGACTTTATAAAATACGACGATTCTTCGTCTGAAGAATCGAAGGAAAAAGTAGCGGGGAAAGTAAAGATAGTAGTGAATCTAAAGGAAAGAAAAATAAGAAACACAAGGAATCGAGCGATTCCAGTGAGTCAAGCGAATCAAACGAAGAAGACAAAAAGAAAAAACATTAATTCTGTAATTTATTATAATTTGTATAAACGATCTATTAAACACTTGCTTGTTTTATTTTACTTTCGTAGTAATGTATTTTCAATTACTAAGAAATAACTATAATATAACTGTAGTAATAGTACAGGTCTCAGGTTCAAAAAAAGACGCCAAACTTGGCATCCACTAGAATTTGAAACATAAGCCCTAAAAAGTGAAGAGCCGAGAGGTCAGTAGATAATAGAAAAGGAAGTACATATACTTTATCTAATTTACTTATCATTGCACGTCATTATCATTACAGAGATCGAAGTTGACACAGTTGCCAAAGTATAAAAAAATCCTGACTCCATTTTAAATCAAATAGTTCACATAATTATTGCAAAAGTATTACCATCTCTTTACAACGACTATTTAAATTCTTACGTGAAATTTTTAAAATTAAATACACTAATTTTGTTCTAAAAGAACAGATGTTATTAAATAGGTAAAAATATAAAACAAGAGGTATTCACTTTAAAATTCAAAATTATAAAGTACAAAAAGTGTCAACACCAGCAACTGTCAAATAAGTGTTACCAATTTATGCCAAAATATCACCTTCTTTCGATTACAGTTACAGTGTGTTCCGAACAAATGTTCTTCATAAAAACGCTTTAAAATGCAGTTATACAAATTAAATGAAACACATTATTGTGTATTTCTTTAAGTTAACATTAATAGAAATCTTTAAATATTCTTTCTACGTGTATATAATGAAATACGTCTAGTGGCTGTAATTCCAGTGTACTCGGCAAAGTGATTCTAAAAAAGAGCACACCTACCGCCTAAATATTTCGTGTTCGTATCATGTGACCTCACGGACTATGACGTGGATGACGTGCAACGGTAAGTAAATTAGATGAAGTATACACGTCTTAGCAAATTCAGAACATTGTTGCCAAGTTTTTTCTTAAAATTTACTTTACTTTAAAATTTACTACTTTATTTACAATAAGGAACAATTTCTGTTTACTTATTATTGTTTGCTATGGTTTACTTTTAACTTTCAATTAACAAAGTAGGTACGTTAAAACATGGAAAAAGCATTAAAAACGGGTAATATCTACTTTGATATCACTCGTTGATATTACGTTGATTTTAAAAACATGTCACAATGGAACCAATCCTATGAAAACTCTCTCTATGGAGAGAACTAGGTACAACTGCGTAATCCATGTTTATAAAATCCTAATAAGATCTAAAATAGATTACGGTTGCATAGTATATGCATCTGCCAAAGAATCCTTATTACATCACCTTGACGTTATTCAAACTACAGCATTAAGGATAGCTACAGAAGCATTCCGGAATAAATATAGAAGGATGCATTTAACTCTCACATATAGATTTACCGCTAACTCTAATCCAAACAATCCAACTTATAGAAATAACATATTCACTGATCTTTTAAAAACTTATATACTGAAAATATAATGTGAAACCACCATTCTATGAGAGACTTAGGCAAACTCTACGTTGACGCTGTGTTGAGTTATGGTGGTGTTGAATCCAGTCACGGACCAGATATTGTAAATATTTTTGTAAAATATTTTTCCAATAGTCTATTCCACTCAAATATGTGACATACCCAGTGATTCACCATCACTTGGTATTACTAATTTGACT